AGCACATACTCCAGCAGCGCATCAGCACATATTCTAGCAGGCACACCTTCCATCAAGAAATGGAGCAAGAGTTCCATGACAGACAGGTAAGAAACGACACCATGCCCTGCATTCTCACCTGTTCACCGGAAAGGATCCAGATGGAGTTCATAGTCCATCATTTGGCTGATCCCTGGCTAAAATCTTATGTCAAGCTAGGTAAGAAGGAAGCCAGTCCATTACAAAACTCTATAAAGCAGAGATAACTGTACTGACAAGTTCTCTTTTTAATGTATTTGCGAAGTCTTCTCTTTTTAAATTCAAAACTAAGCTCATTTTCAAGCAAACAGCATTCATACTGATGTTAATATGCAGTTGCATATAATGCTAAAAAAAATCAATATAATGTGTAGTAAATATAGGTAACTGCTTATGTTTTTTTAATGAAAAAGAAGGTAATGCTGTCCTGTGCAAGATGTTATTCATAGCAGTAGATGTACAATGTCACTTTTTGCTGCCAATTTTTTGGGGGGGAAAAAAACATATACACACCCATATACACATCCCAAACTCTTGAAATATAAGCATAAGATCACAGGTCGCAGATATGCGACCAGGCCTAGGGAATACATGGAACAAGAATAATGTTTTCTGAACATGAAAGGGATCTAGACATGTGCTATGGAGAGGAGCATAAGAAGCCATCCTTACTATAAAAAAACACATAGAGTATCACAGAGGTGAGCCAGCTCCAGTATTGCAGAAGCTTCAGATCACAGCAGCTTCCCAAAACAAAACCAGAAATGACCACAAATCACTTCTGGCTTGGCACGTCTGCCCAGGTTTTGATGAAGAAAGGCAGGCTGCACCTTGTTTTAAAGGAGAACTGCTGCTCTTGGAGGTTTCCACCAGCAACAATTCCCCTTTTCTTACCCTTTTTATTCCAGGGGAGGGACCAAGGATAACACAAATAGGCAAAGAAGGACAAGTGCAACACAAGGGACTCCCATCCTTTAAGCTTTGGATTTCAGGTTTGATGCATAAATGATGTCTTTGCTACGAACAATTTAAAGAATATACAGACTGCCCTACCTACAAATGCTAACACTTCTCAGTCTCTCTTGTCATCCCCATCTGATGTTTCAAATACTAAGTGTAGTCTCGCTTACTCTGATTGGGTTGCTAATTATGCTACCTGGAGATGAACAACTTTACAGCTCAATGTAGTCGCCCTGTGGAAACCAGCTGCCAACCCAGAGGTAAGACAGGTCTATAGAGGCTCAAAGGGACACAGTGGCGCTGCACCTTAAACCGCAGAAGCCTCTGTGCTGCAAGGTTGGAAGACCAGCAGTCGTAAGATCGAATCCATGCAAAGGAGTGAGCTCCCATCGCCTGTCCCAGCTCCTGCCAACCTATCAGTTTGAAAGCATGTAAAAATGTGAGTAGATAAATAGGTACCACCATGGTGGGAAGGTAACAGCATTCCGTGTCTAGTTGTGCTGGCCACATGACCACAGAAACTGTCTTCAGACAAACGCTGGCTCTATGGCTTGGAAACGGGGATGAGCACCGCACCCTAGAGTCAGACACAACTGGACAAATTGTCACGGAGAACCTTTACCTATAGAGGCTCAAGTGACTATGGCAGTAGGACTTCTTGGTGGTCTGTGTTAAAGAAGGGAAAAGAAAGAGGGAAAAGTGGCCTGAACTAATTTGCATCCCCTCCTCACAATGACACCCCCTTCTTGCAAAACAAGTAACTGAAGAGGGCTACATGTACAAAATGCAGTATGGGACTTTGTGGGGTTAAAGCTTCCCCAGAGCATGCATACAATATGAGCACTGACTTTGGGGTTAATGAACAAACATTGAGTAATTTGTTTATCAGCAAGATGGAAATTTGGAAGGTTTACAGGCCTTAAGTTGTTAAATATAGGATACTAGAACTGAGAGCATTCTTTTCTTCATATGCAAAAAAACTGATAGTACAATATGGCTGGAAATCCATGCAAAATGACAAACTGTAAATATCCATTTTAGTTGCAAACAACTACACAGCATGGCAACAGTTAAAGAAAGTGTTTTTGGAAGTTCAAATTCTAAGTAGCACTATTTTATTTCAAAGATAAAGTATCACGTCAGCTGTGCAAGCAGCTAAAGCTCCTGCAGGGATGGGATATTTATTTTAAAATTTAGCAGACAATTTTGTTCATTTGACAATACACTGTATCCGTTGTATTATGTATCTTTTTTCTTTAGAGTAAACTGATTCTTGCTGTAAGTACAACAGAGGGTTCTCTTTTTAAGCAAACAACCTACATAATATCCATTATCCAGCATCACCGTTGGTGGTGACTGGATCCAATAAAATCCTGTGGAACACAAGTCCATATAATCACGCAATGGGCCAAGGGGAAATTATGCAGCAATGAACTCTTTGCACTGAACACTTAATTTGGATTGAGACGACATTGCCTGTGCGCAATACTGTAACTCCCCATTCCCTCTTGGGATACTATTAACTAAACTAAATTAAGTACACAGACATCCAAACTTTATATGTTTTCCTTGATACAGCTAACAGTAACTCTAGAAGGGGAATTCAGTAGGATAAGTAGATAGGATTCTACCCTAGCCACGGCACTACGGCGTAGTTTGGATCTTTCCCTCCTATCAATGCTTCTTTAAGAAAATTACAAAGGCAGATCCGACCATGGATCTCTGAGGGAATATATCATTTGGCCATTACTGCTGATTAACAGAAAGTAATTTAAGAAATTATTTTATGAATATACTCCATGAAACGTCATTCTGTTTCTAATTAGATGATTCATTTCTAACGAATCATCCACGTTGACAAAATATTTAAGACTACTAAGTCCCAATAAAACTAACTCTTTCTTTAAAATATATTTGCACAAAAATAGTAGTGAGGAAACTATGGTAATGACCAAAATACAAAATCCATGTGCTTTTATTTTCTTTTTAAACCTCACTTATTTGATTCTGTATCTCTTAGATGTGCAAAAGTCACTGTATTTCATTATTTTACTTTTAAACCTTCAGCCAATTAAACAAGTAAAAGTGTCAACTCAAAACAGGGCCGCTGTATCCATGGGCAACCAGAACCAAGCTCACCCCTTGATGCCAAAAAGCACATTAGTGTCCAATGCCATACACTCCAGGTTCTCTGGCACCCTCTAGTGGCCAGTTCTGATAAATGCACCCTGGAAATGCATATAAATGCACAGGGGGTGTTTAGTATTTTTAGGCAGTGGATAAGTGAATCAATGGATCCTGATCCTGCAGATAGCAGGCTCCTACCGGACTAAAAATGAGAACATATGTACCAAAATGCCAGACTCAACTGTTTCAATGTAAGTTACTATCATACATCTACCACCACCTATATTACTGCCAGATCCAGAAAATATGGACCTAATTCCTTGAGAACAAAGGACTTCTGGATTGTATTTCCTGAATAGACCACATCAATATGCTTCTGAAACACCAGGAAACTTCAAAAGCAGTGATCTATGGTTTAACAAATTCCCCTTTTAAGTAAAACCCTTTTGTGACTGTAACCAGTTCTTTAGAGCCTTCAGCTATCATGCTAATGCATGTAAAGTTTGTTCCACTATATCTGTTTATATATGCATACCACATTAAGGTATGCCACCATTGGGAGGTGTTTTTTTTCATGGGACCTGTGAACAAAGCTGGATTACATACCGTGTTTCCCCAAAAATAAGACAGGGTCTTATATTAATTTTTTCTCAAAAAAATGCATTAGGGCTTATTTTCAGGGGATGTTTTATTTTACAGTCATGTCGTCTTATTCTGGTTGCTGCACAATGATGGAGGGCATGGTTTCACTCAACTGGGGCTTATTTGGGGGGGGTTAGGGCTCATATTACGAGTATCATGAAAAATCATACTAGAGCTTATTTTCATGGAAACAGAGTATCTGACACTGGCATCAATAAAGGGTTATTTTCTAAATTAAAAAAATAGTGTTGTGCATTAATTCAGTACCTCCAGCCACTTTAAAAGAACTATAACCTCACTTTCAACTTACAGATACGTTTATTCACATGAAGGCAGCTTCAATGCACCACTTGAAACAAGAGGATCCATTTAGTTTGCACCTGATTTATCACAATTGCGCAATTAGAGACAAGGTCCTAAATAAAATGAGAACTTCAACAGAAGGACCCTGATGCAGGTACCCTCCTAAATAACTGGTTTGGAGGGAGCATAATAAATCTTCTGAGCATCACAAGAAAAAATCTGCAACAAAGCTTAAGTTAACACATCTTGTTAAGATCTGAGGCTTGTTTTGGTATAAAGAACATCTGTGACTGCTAGAATTACAATGTTAGCGGAAACAGTATGATCTGTCAGTGAGAGCAGCTGTGATTTATCAAATATATACTCCAGGAAGACACAATGCAAAAATAAGGTATTTTTAAACAGTGCATTTTCTGACATAGCATTTACATTCATTTGTCAATGTTTAGGTTTATCTCATCAGACAGAACCTCAAAGCATATCAAGCTAGCACGACTTATGCTATCAAGACCTGAAATTGTTCCCATGAATGATGGTGGCAAACTGTTCATTAGGAAGCAAAAACAATGAATTCACCCCATGAGAATGACACATGCGCGCACGCACGTGCACGCACACACACACCCATACGGTTCACTACAGAGACAATCTCACAGAAGTGCTATCTCCACAACCATTCAGTATGATCCCCTGCCCACCTCATCCTGGCACAGCAAAGGCGCAAAGACAACCTGAGCATAAGCATGAGGTTTGTGTATTAAACAAGAGAGAGTACAACAACCTGGGATTTCTTAGTATGCCTTCTCCTCCCCCCACAACCCACATGTTATACTAGACTGCTCAGAAATGATCATAGTGCACCCCTGGTTCACTGTGTAGCCCAAATAATCCACCCACTAATTCAAGCAATTTATGGAGATTTCCTATTCTCTTTTAGAAACAATAATAATAATAATAATTAAGAACCAGATACTGGTTTTTTATAACTTCTCCATATCTTGAAATCACTCTGTCCTCGTTTTAAAAAAACAGAAGGAAAGAATGGAACTTCTTGATCTCCTTGGATGAATCCAAAATTGGGAAAGACTGTGAGTTGCTCCATCACTGAAATCACGGCGAGAGGACTGTGGTCTTAACAACACATTATCTACATAGGAATACATGTACACAATCACACAAAGCTGCCGCATTTTCTTTCAGTTAGAAAAAAAAATTTAGATTCCCCTTCCCCCTCACAGAACAGATCTTATAAAAGATATGTAAAATAAAAGGAACAATACTCATAAAATACCTATTACTATGGCAAAGCTTTTGTCAATAAGCCTCTAGAACTTTAAATGAAGAAAATGGCTTCACAAAATGGTAGTCCAAGTTCCCACAATGTGGACACTGTTGAACATTGCTGTATTCTGAGAAATACTGCATTCCAATACGTACATCTATAACAGGTTTCCCACAGTGTTTACAGTTCAGTCGAGCCTGTAAAAGGGTTCAGCAGGGAAATGGGAGAAAAACACAGAGAAAATTCTGAGAAGACCAGCATTTGCTTCCACTACTCATCAAACTACAACAGCTCGCTATTTATTCACTAATAGACACCCCATGCAATCAGCCAGGAAAATGGAAGTCATTTCTCACAAGAGCAGGATTCTGTTTAATATTCACCTGCACAGAGCCTCAGTTGCAGAACCTACCATGGCTATTCTCATGAGGTGCCAGTCCATGACTGCATGGCCCAGTCTACTTTCTACACTTTCAGGCGGCCACCTCTTATGGGGATCCAGAGATGAGAAAAGTTACTTTTTTGGACTACGACCCTCAGAATCAATAAGGTAACAGACTGGAATATTGGGAATTGTAGTGCAAAATTAACTTTTCTCATCTCTGAAGTCCAGAAGTTACTCTTTTGTTCTACAATTCACAGAATTCCGCAGTACGCTAGTTATGGGCTTCTAAGAGATATGACTAGACTTGTGACAAACAAGAGACAGCTAGATAAATAGATAAGATAGCAAGCTGACACTTTCCTCTGGAAATTCACTGCTCTGAAAAAATGCCACTGGCAGGGAAGTCCTATTCTGGCATTAAGCCTGAAAGCATGTAGGTCTCAAAGAGCAGAGAGGACGGGTTGTGCACATATAAGCTCTCTGCCATCCTCACTTCACCCAGAAGATGTATGGACTTCTGTAGGTTCAGTTCAAACCAGTTATAACTCCTAAACAGACTTTTGCACTGAACACACAAAGATCAGGTTGAATTCAAGAGAATGTGGCGGGATAACATGGACCACTGCATTCACATGTCACCACCACCTTTTGAACCCTCCAAACCCTTCAGGCTTTAAGACGCAAGAGGGCTGCTCTGGAATAATCAAAAGGAAGAACGCCTTAGATGAAATAATGTTCAACAGTTCTAGTCAAATTACCCATTTTGAACACAACATTTGCAATAAGATTTTATTTAAATAACTTTGTGAATCCTCCAGTTAGTAGGGCCACTAGTCATGCATTATGCATGCATACGTTACCAAGTTTCTACAATGAACCTTCTCATGAACAACCACAATATCCCACACTGTTTTCCCTTTTGAAACTGATTCACTTACCTATACCAGTTAAAAGTGACTTTGATACTTTGCACAATACTGACCTGACAACAGGGAGAAGCTGCTAGAATATCGTAAGTGTACATGGTTCCCAACTGATGCCAGCTTCCATCCCAACGAGACTTGCACTTTATGCAGATAATTTTGTGAACCCCTTCTAAACAGTCTACACAAACAGCATAGAGGTGCATAAGCCTTCCTGTGGAGGGGAAAAAAGGAGTTTTGTAAAGAAAGGGTTCAGTGCCTACAACTATGTTATGTTACAAATATTGGAGCACTGTTACATCACTAGAGAACATACATTCTGAGTCTGAAAATGCAAGAAATATAGTATATATTCTGCAAACAAAGTTTCTACCTATCTCCTATCATATTCAAGAACTGTTGAGAAGGAAAGACTCATTTTCCAGACTTGAAATTATTTCTCCTGACACTGTAAACTGTAAAAAAAGAACTAGAAGCATCCAATAAAAGCCGATACAAGAGAGCTGGAGATCCCCCACAAGGAGGAAAATAATCTTTTATGGAGCCCAATGCATTTCAGTCAGAAAATATGAATGAATTTCATATTTATATAGCAATTCACAAAAATATCTGTATAGCTTTTTTCAAGAGAAGCAATATAGAAATCTGCATGCAAAGATGTCTCAAGAGAGTGCCTCATCTCTACATTTCACCCACCTATGTTTTTCCATGAAGAAATAATTTCAAGAAAAACCACATTAAATCTTTTTCCACTCAAGCTGGGTCATTATTATATTTACCAGAATACAGCTATGAATGCATACATATAAACAAGAAGTGTTTAATGTAAAAAGAGCCCATGTAATTTTTCAGTGTAACACATGAAGTCTTATACTACCCTTTCAGGTTATATGTGACTATTTATTCATTTCATTTTTGATTCTAAAATATTTTATTATTCCAAAATACTACAGAAAGCAACTGACATTATCAAAAGATACACAACATCTTAAAAGGTGTTAATGGGGTTGGGGATCTTTTAGGTGTGCATGTAAGACAACTGGATGGGAAGTTTGTAAGATTTTAAGTGGGTTGTTTTCTATCCCTCAAAACGCTGTGACTTATAACCAAGTTGGAAGGGAATTCATGAAAACAAAAAAGGTAAATTTCTCTGAAATTTACTATCATATGTTACTATGATGCCTACCAGTAGACATGGATTTTACATCTATTTTATTAAAGCTACTAGCCATGACTGCTGAGAGCAGAACTTCCATATTCAGTCAAATATACCTCTGATTCCTAGTCCCTCCTTGTAAACAAAATCTGAAGATCCCTCTGGTCAGCCCAAGTGTAGACAGAGTATTACACTAAAAAGGCCTTTGCTCTACTATGACCATTTTTGTTATGGTTTACTATAGAGCTGGATAAATTCCATAAATGCCCATAATACAAGCAGTGAATTGACTACCTACTTGACCAAGTATTTCAGAGAGCCAACTGAATCTATTTTAAAAAGCTACTTATTTTGCACAATAGTGCTCAGGACTAAAAATAATACAAGCTCATTATAAAATATTTTCTTGTCCAACTACTTTGCCTGTGGCACTTCCCTTTCTGATACTCAAGTCGTCACTTTGAAATATATATAAAGGCAAACCACTAGGATTTTTGTGGTTAGTGACTGCTTCTTAGTTTTAATATATATTTAAACTATTAACATATATATTGTTATATGTTGTATTGCCCACTTTAAAACCATGCATAAGTCTTTGAGGCTACAGAACAGATCACAGAGATATTGTGAATACAGAGCAATGTTCACAAGCTGCCCAGAATGTAATGTAGAAGAGTAAGATTCTTCCCAGAACATTTCCATAAATTCTTCTCACAGAAATTTGTATAGAATCTTAACAAGCATATATATTATTTTTATTTTTATAAGCATATATTAATAAGACAAAAACATAAACTTCTACCAACAGGATTTCAGCCACTGTTAGGTACGTTATCTTGCTCCATTTATCTTCTGAAAGGTCAAAAGATATCAAATATACGGCTGACTCCGTTTATACACAGACTAATGATGAAGATGAGATACAAGCCTTTGACTCTTGTACTTCCTCCTCATCTCCAGTGTAAGCACAAAGACAAGAAAAAGAGAAGAAAAACTTCCACTTCCATTTTTCAATTAACCATAATTTAAACTGCACAGTGGGCATGTTGCAGATCTGAACCTAATTTCAATTTTCACTGCTAGTGATCAGTTCAGAGACCTTCAAAAAGAGTAATCTGTCTGCTACAGCAATATGCTGGCAACCTGCTGGCTGTGAAGAAAGAGAAAGAACAAGAAAGATGAGTAGGTATCAAATAGAGGCAAGGAGAAAAGATGGTTACAAAGAATGAGAGAAAAGAAGAGTCTCTGTCCACTTTTTGTTCTGGCCCCATCCATCACTGTCTTGTGGCTTTGAACAGATTACTTCTAAAAGGATATAGTTCCTGATACCCTTTTAGTCTACCATCCAGAACTTGAACTATTAACTACAATCAGTAGAAACAAGCTAGCTTGGTAAACCATGATGTGAAGTTGGTTTGTTTCACTAGCCACAGTAAAGAATTGAAGTCTGTCAAAATCAAGTGACATAAGAGACTACACTCAATGAAAAATGAAAGCAAACATTTTTAGACCAGTGGTTCCCAGCCTTGAGTCCCCATATCTTCTTGGACTACTACTCCCAGAAATTCTGGCCCGCACAGCTTCTGGGAGTTTTAGTCCATCTGAGGATCCAAGGTTGGAAACCACTATTCTAGCGTCTCCTGTGGTCCCCAAACTTTTTGACACTGTGGTCCAGTTTGGGGGGTGGGGTCTGTGCGTGGAGGGGGTGGGGCACGCCCCACGCTCATACATATGTGCAGGCAGGCACTCATGTGCATGGGCGAAGGACCGGGAGCGCTTCCGCAGTGCACGCACACACACGCGTGCACGAAGGGACGGGAGATGCTCGCAGGGCACGCACACTCGTGTGCATGCACAAAGGGGCTGTGTTGTGGGCGTGCAGGGGGAAGTGCGTGCGGGGAGGGAGATCTGTCTCCACAGTCCAGTCCAGCCATGGCCAGGGACCAGCACCGGACCGCAGACCATGGGTTGGGGACCCCTGTTCTAGACCTTCCATTAAATAAAATGGGGAGGGCAAAACAACAATGATCTGGCTCCTCTTTATTGTACAAAGTTATTGTTCAGTACTACAGTACTTCCAAACAAAGTCACTGTATTAGCTTAACTGCTCTTAGAAAAGTTTCTCTCCTTCCTGAAATTTTTTTATAGACTACATACTGTAATCTCATATAATCGGACATGAGATATTAGAAAGAAATATTCAAAGTTGCAAAGGACTACAAGCTCAATTAACCCAGTTTTCAAATTGAAAACCCTGTTTTGGGAAACTGATGGAAAAGGTATGAAGTAAGCAAGTTTTTTGTTTAAATGATATAGATTTATTACTATGTTTACTGCAAAACCTTAAGGATTTCATGCTTTTCGGCCTGTTGCTATGTTCTGATATATTTACAAATATAAAACCATGAAAGGTTCAAAGTTTTACAGTAGTCATAATGATAAAATTCATAAATATTACTCTGTTTAAGGGAACTTTTATCTTTTATCGACAGTACATGTCCTCAGATATATAAACAATCTGTGAAGGCTTTTCTGCTTGCTTCTTATTACCTCATCTCATCTTACACATGCAATCCCTGAATCCTCACACCAGAATGTCTAACTACAATCCTTCTGAGACATTTGGTATATATCATAATTAACTGAAAAAAACATATCTGTCCACATTAGCTGCTTTCATCACCAAATGCAACTTTACAACTTTCTGTTCCCAAAACTCCCAAAGAGCACCCCTTGCATTATGTGTGATTAGGATGCGTCTCTGAACAGAAAAGGGCACACGTTAGCGTAAGATTTCTCACAAACAGGCATCCAAAAGTATACTTCCAGGTCGGGGGGGGGAGTCACTTTTAATATCTGCTCCACAGTCTTCAAAAGAAAGCCTCAAAATTTATAGAACAAGTCCATTTTTATATTTTCCTAGCTACAGAATTCTAGTAGGCTGCACAGCAGAGGGAGAAATGAAAAGTAGAATTATTCCCAGGATCTCTGCTGACAGACAGCTGCCTTTATCTCTCTCTTAATCACCATCTCTTGGCAGGGTACAATCAATGGGGGAAGAGATTAAAACAGTCCAATCTCACAGCCTTTGTTGGAAGGCTACCTGCCTTTGGTCCCTACCTGCATGCTACTAAATTATTTCTATCCAGTGGGTCATTATACGAAATGTAACCAGAACTGTTTTTTCCCCTTCTCCCTCTACATGCCTTCCTTTCTTTCTTGCCACGTCACAAATTCAAATTGTAAATCTGTAGCCAAGGACTATCATGCTATGGATCATCATAAGCAATCCTGGACACCTTTTGGCTAAAGAACAAAATATATCTACTCAAAATAAATTTATTTAATAACATGTCATTGAAAATATTAACTTTCTCTCCATTACTTTTCATGCAAGGACAGCTGGAAAACCTTGTCTTGTTTTCTCAAATAAATCTTTGAAGGGAACTGTTACACATTACATGTATCAAAACTCCAGTGTGTTCTTGTCTTAGTCAAACCTGCTGTATAGAGCACAGGAGCAATAAAAGTACTTTTAGTCTCTCAGCAGCAATTCCATGTTTGCTGCTTCTTTCCACATCCCTCAGATAAGGCCTCAGCAGAGCACACACACAGGAATGTAACCAGCGCCACATTAATGAGTGGCAATTTCTCGCCAATGCTTATGTGATTTCCCTTACACAACCATAGATAAGAAATAGAATTCTAGCTAAACCTGAACTTCCTACCATAAAACACAAGAAAGCAACTGAAAAACACTGGGTGAATGGGTGAGGGGGGAAAAAACAGAACTAATAAGCAACCAATACCTTGAAGGTGACAGGGAACATCATATTCGATTTCATCATGCCTTGACGGGCTAAGAAACAAGGTTCCATCCACCAATGGAAACTGTTCAAACACTGGCAGTGCTCTGTGGCATAATGCACAGTTGACAACATTTCGGTGGCTTGCACTGAGTGCTGCAAGAATGAATTTCCGCAGGTCTTCTCCTTGACCCATTTGGGCGTCATCTTCCATCCGGACATGGAAAGTGTTCAGTTTATGCCTGGGTATGTGAGCAAGGAGTTCAGATAGATCAAGCCTTCTCAAAAACTGTACAGGGGCATCGAAATGTCCTGATCTATGTGCTTGCAGTCCAGATGTCCCATAATCAAAATGAGCATTCCTGAACATGTTATTATTGGCCATGTTCTTCCTGTGAGGTTCTAGGTGAATGGCATTCTTCAAGAATTCTCCTAAATATCGTGAAGAGCGCGGCCCACTAAAGTGTGTAGGGGCAAGGACAGAGTAACCTGCTGGTGGGGACTGGCCAGGTGAACCACAAGGAGAACGGACTGCATAACTACTACTGGCACTGCCTTTCTCTTGAGAGTTCTGCCTGTCCATTGAATGGCGCCGCTGGATATCATGGTTTAAACCTTTCTGGGGTTTGTTTGGAGGCCTGCACTTCTTAACTTCTTCTGAGGACTCTGACATTGATCTTCCACCACTCTTTTCAGACACCGACTTTTTCTTCTTTTCATCTTGCATTCGTTTCACCTGGTACCAATCTGTGTCTTTCTTCAAGTGGCCTTGTCCACACCGGCAAGAGCAAAAACGAAAAGCAAGGTCATACCCTTTCTTGGTCCACATGTTTTGTCGACACTGTTTTTCATTCCAACTCCTTGCTCTCCCAATACAGTTGAACTGAGCCAAAATGCTGCTCTCCCATTCATAAAAGCACTGAAGGTGCATCCAAGTGCTGTAGGGACAATGCTCGTTGTTGCACACAACTTTCTGGTAGTCATCTTTTTCCAGGTCAACAGGCCGGCCAAAGCTACATATCAGCGGTGTAGCACAAGGCGCTTCTGTCAAACACAGAAGAGATAAAACACATCCGTTGCATTACACATAGCAGTATTTGTTGAACTATATGCAATAACAGTTGTTATTGTATGCAAATAATATCCATGAATATTATGTACAATAAAACTACCATATGGAACTCTTTGCAATATTTCTTTTATTCCTACTAACATATAGGTGAAGGATTTAGAGAGAGCTGTTAATCTTAAACACAATCCAGGAATTCCAATGCACATACCGTCGCAGACACACAAGTGAACTGAGGAACACAGGATGGGAAATCTACTGTAGATGCATCAGGTGGATTTGGTCTTAATTAATGTATGCAAACAATGACATCTCCCCACAACCAGGCACATCCTTTAAGGAGATGCCAATGTTTGCATATTATACCGAATGATATATTTGATTATAATTCTAGGCGTATATATTGATATAATATATAAACACTGGCGCCTCCTAATGTTTGGAGATGCCAATGTTTGTATATTATATCAATATTACAGGCCAGTAACATTTCAAATACAGTGGTGCCCCGTATAGCGAGGTTAATCCGTTCCGGATTAACCTTCGCTATACGAAAACATCGCTGTGCGGGTAAGCAAAGCCTATTGGAACGCATTAAACTTAGTTTAATGCGTTCCACTAAGCGTGGAAACTTACCCCTCCAGCGATGTTTTCGCTGTTCGGCGGCTCCAAAATGGCCGCCGGAGGCCCCAATCGTCGCAAAGCGAGTGCGGCGATTGGGGCTGATCCGTATAGCGATCCCCAAAAAGGGATCGCTATACGGATTCTTCGTTAAACGGTGCGCTCGTTAAGCGAGGCACCACTGTATACTACTCAGGAGTTCCTGTTATCCTAGGATTCCATCTTGCATGTATGATCCATGAGGAAGGGAACCTATAGTTTAATTCACATTCAAACATTGCAATACTCCAGGGTAGAACATGGAAGGGATTCAGACAAACAGTCAGTGGTGAAGAGAAGGGATGATGACTTGAGTCACGGGACCTGCTGTCAAGTCAAACTTAACTCACACCGAAGACTCAACTCGGACTTGACTCGGTTCTTTTTCCAATGACTCGGACTCAAATTGCAACTTGTTTAAGTGGTGTGTGTCTTAACCTTACTTTGAGAATTAAAACGCTGAGTACTACTTCTTTAAGGGTTACCATGAATAGGAAAGTGGGAAAAGGATTGTACCACATCGACCTCCTATTCAGTGAAGTGCCTCAAATAATAAGATTTTGCCCAAAGTGCTAGCTCTCTTTTTTAAAAGTAAACTATCATCCGCTGAACTTGGAACTACCCCCGGTGAGTTATCACTTATGTTTTCCATTACAACGACGAATTAACAACAAAAAGCATGAGTACCCTCTAATTATTTTCTAATATCTTAACATGCCATGAAGAAGTTACCAAGTCAAGTCATACAGATAAATCCACCTTAACAGAACATCAGTTTGCATCCACAGATGCAGCTAAGCTGTGTGAAGATCTTTCTGGGCTCTGATATTTTTTTAAAAAAAGAAATGTTCTGCATTCCTACCTCAGAATTTACAACTGCCTTTAATAACTTGAACAACTTCAATCGCCTAACCTCTTTGCCTTGAAGCCACATCCTTTAATTAATACAGATTTCCAACATTAAAGACTTAGCAATTTAGTTATGAGAAATTATACCTTGTGATATGAAGGATGGGGTACATTCAGGACAGGGGTGCCCAATCTTCAGAGGTCCAAGAGGCTACACATGGCCATTCCTGGATCTTGAATGGCTGGTCCCTCTCCTGAGACCCCCGTTCCTAATTTTTTCATATAAAAAGAGTTTCTAACACTGAAAAAACTCACACACCCTCTCCAGTAGCCACTTTTTTTAGATTTTATTTTAATTTGGAGGATGGAGACTCTAAAGTGTGGGGGAGGATCTTGTCAAAACATGGCAAAATCACCCCCATTCCTGTTAAAAACACAAGGCAACTGTTTGAACAAGGAAATTTCTTCCTTTTTTTAAATTGGGGGCAGATACCACCCATGGACTACCTACAGCCTATCTTTATTTTAATAAATACATCAAAATTATTCAGGCTAAATATCCAGAATGAACACATAGTACAATATAACTCAGACAGAACAATTTCTCTCCACCCTAACTAAAATTATACTTGCATGCACCCCCCCCAAAAAAGACATGTTCAAAGGATATGTTGCTTTCTACACAGTTTCCAAAGTAAGTGATATTCTGCAAAGAGAGAGAGCTGCAGCCCAATTAAGAGATCAGTTATTTCTGATCTGTATCTGTAAATGACTTTCTAGGAAGGAAACTAATTAATTATCATCAACAACTTAGAAGTGAAGAGGTAGAACAGATCCTATGGATCATCAAGTCCAGCTTCTGTCAAGGAAGCACAGTGGGGAATCGAACTCCCAACCAGATACCTAAACCACTGAGCTATGCAGCATCAACAACTATTTACTGGATTAATAGTTGATTTTTTGAAAAAAACACTTCATCAAACTATCTGCTGCTGCCAGTGACATCACTCCTACTGCACCTACAGAACAGGATATCGGTCACTTTTAAAACATATAAGCACCGATACCTAAACCACTGAGCTATCCAGCATCAACAACTATTTACTGGATTAATAGTTGAATTTTTTGAAAAAATCACTTCATCAAACTATCTGCTGCTGCCAGTGACATCATTCCTACTGCACCTACAGAACAGGATATC